TTGGGAAGTGGGAGAGGCACACCTCTCAGCTCCACCATCCCTGTTCACCCCCCACTGGATCCTGGTCCAATAGCAACCCCCTGCCATGCTGAGCTGGTCCCAGGAAGGAAAAGCCCTAACAAGCCGCCCCCCCAACCCTAAGCACCTGATGTCCTAGAGCTGCCCCACGTAGGGGCTGGAGATGAAGGAGAATTCACCTGCCAGGCTTAGCACCCGCTGGGCTCCCAAAACATTTCCTTCAGCCTCTCTGTGCAAAGTGAGTTGCAACACAGATTCTGGGGGTGGACAGCCTGGCCAGGTGTTTAGGATGTGGAAGGGCCTAGGGCCAGAACTTCATCCCCTGCCCACCCCAGTCCCCCACCCCACTTCCCCAGAAAGCCCCTCTTCCGGCAACTGTGTGACTGAGGAGTAGGAGGGCTCATGCCCCTGGTCCTCACCCTGCTCAGAGGGGCCCTCATGGGGGCTGGCTTCCTCTTCACTTATGGCCTCACTGGATCTACTACACAAGGTGAGCGGGCCTATCCCTCTCCAGGGAAGTCTCCAGGAAGTCCCTGAGTTCCAGGTGGGGCTGAGCTGTCCCACCCCACCTGTAGTTAGAATTAAAGGGGTGACTCTCTGATCTGAGAGCCATATTGTCCCTGCAGGTGTGGGGGCCCCCAGGGAGCAGAGCTGAGAGGCCTGAGTCTCCACCCTTCTTGAGATGGGACTAAGGTGTGGATCTGGAGTCCAGAGGGACAGATATGGGGACATCATGGTCAGCTTCTTCCTGGAAACACCTGGCCCACACACCCTGTGACTGCTCCTTTGTGTTCTACCTGCCCCTACCCCCATCTATGCACCTCCTCTCCCTTCCCTGTTCCCTCCTGTCCCACCCAGTCTCAGCCCCCTGATGCAGGGACTAGCCTTTGTTATCTTGTTAACACTATACAGTTTTTAACTCAAAATTTGGTTCCTATTGTATACCACATTTGTCACCTTTCCCCCCTAAATTTGTACTTTTAATGGTGTGCATTCCACAAGCATTTACTTATCACACACTATGGGCAGAGTAAAGCCCAGCATTCTTAGGGGTCACAACTGTGCAAGAGGGCCATGCTGCATTTAGTGACAGGAATCTTTGTCAATAGAAATACTGGATGGTCAGTGGCCCCAGACTGTTGACTCCACTCCAGATGCCCCTCCAACCCGCCCCCTCCCCCAGGGCAGCTGGAGAGAACACCTGAAAACACAAATCTGGACGTTTCACTCTCTGATTCTCTAGCTTTCCACTTTCAGTGGCTTCTATTTCTCATGGAAATAATGAGAAAGTAGGAAATATGGCCCATGAGGTCTTGCTTTCATCTGTTTGTCCCCCTTTTGACTGTACCAGACAGGGTTCCCCAGAGGAACAGAACCAAACAGAGATTTACTATGAAGAACTGGTTCAATAATGGAGGCTGAGGGGACCCACAATCTGCCACCTGAAAGCTGGGGACCCAGGAAAGCCAGAGGTGTAATTCCAGTCTGAGTCCCAAAGCCTGAGAACCAGGGGGAACTGATGCCGCAGATCCCAGTGCACGGGCAGGAAAACACCAATGTCGCAGCTCAGGAAGGGAATGAGTCTGCTCTTCCTCTGCTTTTGTTCTTTTCAGACCTTGGATGATGCCCACTGGCAGCCGGAAGGGGTTATCTACTTTACTGAGTCAACCAAGTCAACCGATTCAAATGCTAATCTCATCTGGAAACACCCCCACAGTCACACCCGGAAACAATGTTTAATCTGGGCATTTAATCAGCATAGACAGACAGACAGACACACACACACACACACACACACACAAAACTGGACATTGGTCATTCTGACTACTGAGACCATTGGCCATATCCTGTCCTTTGCTCAGGGAACATGGGGCTCCTGTGAATAGGCAAATGGCCCTAGTTGTCAGGTTAAAGAGATCCTGGGACAATGTCTTAGAAGGAGAGAAACAGGCACATTGTTTTCCTGGATCCTTTGCATGTCACTGTGAACTTCTCTCTGGGCCACCTGTGTCCCCCTGGATTGGTGGACCAATCAATGTACCAGGGCTCAATGGCTCTTGCTCCCGGAAATTCAGCCACTTTCCCCCAACACCTTCTTTGCTCCCAGCAATTGAGCAGCTGGAATGTCAAGCCAACAAAGGTGAGCCCAGAGCAGCCACAGGGTGTGAGAGCTGCAATAGTTACTGCTCCTCCACTGACCCTCAGAGCTCCATGGCTGCTGCTTCAACTTCTCCCTTCTCTTGTAGCCAGCTTTAACCTGGATGCAAACGTGGAAGGGGATTCTGGGAAATGTAGTCCCAGCCTGGCAAAGCTCCACAGGCATCTTCACTGAAGGCTTTAGATCCCCATTTAAGAGCCATCCTTTAAATACAGTATGTAAAAGGGGTGCCTGGGTGGCTCAGTTGGTTAAGTCTCTGACTCACGATGTCGGCTCAGGCCATGATCTCACAGTCCATGGGTTTGAGCCCTGTATTGGGCTCTGCTCTGACAGCACAGACCCTGCTTGGGATTCTCTCCACCACCACCGCCCCCCACTCCTCCTCCACTTGCTCTCTCTTGCTCTCTCAAAATAAGTAAAGAAACATTTTTTAAAATTTTTAAAAGAAATACAGTATGTAGAAAAATTCATCAGGCCTGTAAACCTTCAGAACATTACCTTTTACCTAGTAGCTATGATTTGTGCAAGCTAGTGTTTCAGTTACCTGTTGCTGCACATCAAGCCACCCTACAACTCAGTAGCCTGAACAATCATTGTATTTTGTCTCACAGTGCTGTAAATTGGTCAGAGCCCAGCTGGACAGTTTCACCCCTTGTCTTGCTCTGGGCTCTTCTGGGCAGTTATGTTGTGATGGTGGCCAGGGCTGGGCCTGGATGTCTGAGGCTCAGGGTTCCTCTATGTAGCCTCTCTCTCCATCAGAGTCCCCTGGGTTGCTTACACAGACGCCCAGGACTCTGCGAGGCAGGAGCGGAAGCTACCAAGCCTTCTTAATATCTGAGCTGTATGAGTCTTAGAACATCTTGTCCTCCACATTCTATTAATCAAAGTAGTCATGGACCCGACCTTGATTCAAGAGGAGGAGATAATAATAACAATTTTATCTCATAATGAGGGGAGCTCCATGTTTGTGTAAGGAAGGGCAGGGTTGTTTGGGGTGGTCTTTGGAAGCTAGTTCCTACAGCTGCCCGTCTGTCTTGAGTTTTGGCTGCCTGCTCTATGTGATGAGGGGATTACCCCTCTCTGTCAGAGATGTTCAGAAAATGAAATGGAACCGGATATGTAAAAGGGCAACACAGAACCTTCACTTTCCCTGCTCTTGAACTAGTGGCAACAGCCTGGCATTGTCCATAAGACATTTCTAAGGGTGGATAGAAGGATAAGGAGGAGAGACTGAGACCTTCCCTTCCCCTGAGGGAGTTCCCTTCCCCTGGAGTTTCCCTTCCAGGTAGACCTAAGCCCTCTCCAGCACATCTGACATGCTGACTATACTGACTCCAGACCTAGGATCCCTGTTCTGTGTGATCAGGCCCCTCCGCAGAGCTGTGGACATGCCCAAAGCCAGCACTCCCCTCTGATTCAGAACCACGGACAGCACCATCACCCTTTCCCAGGGACCACCCCCCAGCCCGGTAAGTCCTGTTTGGAGATAGCGCCCCCTGTGGGTGGTGGCCCCTCCTCTGCTGGGGCAGAGGTGATGTTGGTCACAGAGCACAAAACTTGGTAGCTGGAGGAGGATCTCCAGCACATTAGGAGACTGAGTGTGATAGAGAACATAATACCTGAGAGTCCAGGAATTCTCAGGGTACCAAGATCACCTGTGGAATTCACATCCCTTGAGATTGCCTGAGAGTCCCTACCATGTCAACTTGTCTCCGAGGACCCACTTTGCAGTTCAAAAGGGCAAGAGCCCCGCTGTCCCCCCCACCCATCCCCCTCAGCCATCCCTAGCCTTCACCTCCCCCATCCCAGCCACCTACCCTGTGACATTGGAATTGTCAGGAGTCTGTCTCCCAGCCAGATGCTACTCCCCTCAAAGACAAGAGCTACATCTCTCATATCACCCCTTTACTGGAAACCTGAAGGCATAAGGTAAATGGTTGTTGAATGAATGAGTGAATGAATGAATGAATGAATGAAATTTTCTCTCCATCTCATGGGAAAAGTTGATAATTTTTCCCTCTCAGATTAACATAAACTACCCATCTCCCAGCTCAATGAATTCTGGTCTGACAAAGATTGGTTAAGTAGTTCCCTGTGTAGACAGTGGTGTATGAGACAGGGCACCCATATATGAGTTGTGCAATTCATTTGCCCACTCTGGACCTCAGTGTCTTCTTCTGAAAATCAGAGAAGTGGGGCTAGAAGGCCTCCTAGCTCTGACGGCCTGTGGGTTATAAGTTCCTCCTTTGCACACAGCTAGATTCTCTGTGGTTTCCCCATATCTCTCCTTCTCATTCTTCTGCTTTTCTTTTTTTTTTTTAATTTTTTAATGTTTATTTATTTTTGACAGAGTGAGAGAGACAGAGCATGAACGGGGGAGGGGCAGAGAAAGAGGGAGACACAGAATCCAAAGCAGGCTCCAGGCTCTGAGCTGTCAGCACAGAGCCCGACGTGGGGCTTGAACTCACAAAACGTGAGATCATGACCTGAGCCGAAGTTGGACACTTAACCGACTGAGCCACCTGGGCGCCCCTCACTCTTCTGCTTTTCTTTGCAAACTGGGGACCATGGGAAACAGATTGGACATGGCCCAACCCTTCTGACTATAGAGAGGCTGCAATTGACCCTGCTGTGTGTAGTCCAGCACAGGGGGATGGGGCTGCAGGGTGACACGTGGCAGCATTGCAGGAATTATGATGGTGCAGGATTATGAGTGCCTATGCATGCCGAAATCCTGCCCCTTCCCTTCTCAGTGACCCCAGTGCTGACTGTGCCCCTGGTTATGGGTAAGGATTCAGGGCAGGGGTAACGTGGGAGGGGCAGATTCATGAAGTTGCATGGAAGAAAACAGACTAATGTTCTCTGTGCATACACAGTCTTAAGAAAAACATGAGCATAGTACTACATAGTGCAAGCAGCATGCTCGGGTGATGAAACCATGAAGAAAAAAGCAAGGGAACAATCAACATTAAAGTGAGTCTAGGGACTCCTTTGGGAGGAGTGGGGTGTGTAATAGGGATGGGGATCGAAGGGATGGTCCAGGGTGCCTGCAATGCTCTGTTTCTATTTTGTGATGAATCAGTGAGTTGTTCTTGTTGGAGCCTATTCTTTGTATCTTATGTTCCCCCCACCCAAATGTGTCAAGAGAACCAACATAGGTAGAAGGAGGCACCAGAACCTCCCAGAACCTCCTCCCAGCCCCCAGCCACACAGTTAAACATAACCTTCTGTGAATTCAGGTGCACGTCTCTTCTCTCACCAAATCATCCCCACCTGGAGAGTGGATGACACCCAGCTGGCATTCCTCACTCCCTGTCTCCTGCACACCTGACTCCTGGGACCAGAGCCCTCACGGGCAAAGCTCCAGAGGTTGGCAGACCCCACCACCCTCTGGAGCAATGGAAAAAAGGGTGAGATACCAGCGGTGAAGAAATCGTCCTGGCACCCAGACAGCCGCAACAAAGGGGGAAGTTTCTACCCCTTTCAAAATTGGTCCCTTTTCCTCTGCCCTTCCCCCCATACCAACCCTGTGTACAGCCACAGCTTCAGTTTCCCATGTGTCCTTTGTGTCAGTCTCCCCTCAATGTCCTTGGAATCTTCGTCTCCCCTGCTTGAGTGTCCCCTGTGCCCAGTCTTCCTACGACACAACCTCCAACCTCCAACCTTCCTATGAACAGCACCTCTCTCTTCCTGTGTGTCCCCTGTCACAGGGAGCTCTGGGTACCGACACCTACTGTTTCCTTGCTTGGCAGTGACTCCAGGGGTAGTGCCTGGGGCTAGTGTGTGGTCTCATGAGCAGGGAGGGGAGACCTACCATGTGGATTCCAAGGGAGGGAGGACAGTTGACCTCCTCACACCTCCACCCTTGGCCTCCCCCATCTCTCAGGTCCCTATGTCCCCACATGAGTTCCACAGACATGTACGGCCTGTGATTCAGGTGGTCTGGCCCAAAGGAAGGAACCCTTTCTCACTTTGCAAAAAAATGACCCCAGAAGGGAGGGGCATTGGCAGGAAGGCGGGAGATGGGGCTCGAGCCCTGCACAGGGTGTGCATTTGGGCGAGGCTCTCACCCTCTCTGGCCTCTAGGCCCAGGGTCCCCGGCAGTGGAGATGCGATGGTGGATGGCCGATTCCCAAGGGCTGTCCCGGCCCTGACAGCGTCTGCGTGCGAGGTTCCTTCTCTGACGAGGGCCACTGTTCTGACATCACTGTCACCTTCCTGTCGGGGCCTCCTCTCAATCTTGCAGCTCTTAGCTTCTGAGAGACAGACCCGGAGAAACAGGCTCCCCGGGGACCTGGCGCCTCCAAGCCCAGACATGCTTCTGCTGCTGTTGGTCCTGCTCTGGGGGACGGAGGGGGCCGAGGGCCAGAGGGGGGCCGGGAGGGGGCCACAGGGGGATTACTGGCTGCAAGTGCAGGACGCAAAGGGGCAGGAGGGCCTGTGTGTGCCCCGCAGATGCTTCTCTCCCCGGGAAGGCTGGTCTGAGTCTACCCCAGCGCTCGGCTACTGGTTCCGGAAAGGGGCCGGTGTACAACAGGATGTTCTAGTGGCCACAAACAACCCAGATGGAAAAGTGCGGCAGGAGTCCCAGGGCCGATTCCGCCTCCTCGGAAACCCCCAGGGCTACGACTGCTCCCTGGACATCAGAGACGTACGGAGAGGGGACTCGGGGACATACGTCTTTAGGGTGGAGAGGGGGCCTTCTGTGAGATATACTTACACACGGGACCAGCTCTCCGTGCGTGTGACAGGTAAGGAGCAGATTGTGGGAGAGGCCACAGGGGAAGGTTGGGGGTGCCAGGACAACCCGGGAGGGGCTGGGGGTAATGCATGTTGGGGCTCAGAGGCAGGGGCTGGACCGAAGCTTGAGGCTTCTCTCAAGGCTGCACCTCGGACCCTCCTCCTGATCCCCGTGTCTCCCCATCTCCCCCTAGCCCTGACCCAGACACCTGACATCCTTATCTCGGGGACCCTGGAGTCTGGACGCCCCAGTAACCTGACCTGCTCTGTGCCCTGGGCCTGTGCGTGGGGCGTGCCCCCCATCTTCTCCTGGACGTCAGCGGCCCTCGCCTCCCTGGACCCCAAGACCCACCTCTCCTCTGTGCTCACCCTCACCCCACGGCTCCAGGACCACGGCACCGACCTCACCTGTCAGGTGACCTTGCCTGGGACCGGAGTGACCACAATGAGGACCATTCACCTCAACGTGTCCTGGGAGAACCGGGCCAGGGCCACCCGGATCCCTGATGGGGTCCTGAGGGCAGTTGGCTGGGGGGTCAGGGCCTGGGACCTTGGGTGTCGGGTCCTGGAATGTGGGCTGGGAGGGGGTCAGGAGGATCTCCACCCTCTTCCCATTCCTGCAGCTCCCGTGGGGACTGAGGGCCAATGTCCACCAGCCCTCTCCGTTGACGCCAATCTGCCATGTCTTTCTGTCCCAGATTCTCCGTGGAACTTGACCGTCACTGTCTTCCAAGAAAACGGCACAGGTAGGATAGGGGCCCTACTAGGGTGCAGGGAGCAAGGGCAGGGCCGGGTCCCTCTTGTGGGTCCCCCAGGGGCCCTCCCCCTCCCCGGCCCCCGTGGCCCTGTGAGCAGCTGTCCCCTTCGGCCCCTCCCTCCCCCACTTCTGCCCTCCCCCCTGTTATCAGGAGAGCAAGTACAGGGCGACACTCGCCCGCAGAACTGCCCCTTATCGTGCACCTCCGGACGCTCTCACCTTTTATTTTCCTGCCAACCGTTTATCTGAGTGCTTTTGAACAGCTAATCTATTCACACGGACACGTATTCATAACGCCCGGCAAAGTCGGCCTCAGATGTCCAGTTCCCTCCCGGAAAGTGTCTCGTGTCCAGAGGCTGCTCTGAGCCTCAGTGTGTTTGCTAAGGATCTAAGGGGCCCTTTGCCGTCAGTAGCACAGACTGTCCTCCTTCTGCTCTGTGACTGCGCAGTGTTCCTTCACGTGGATGGGTTCTGCTTCTGCGTGCGTCTTCCACTCATGGAAAATCATGGCGTTCATTTTACTGTATTAACCAAAATGCTATGATGAGTAAGTAAACTTGTGTCACCTTTCACAGCAAAGTGTATGTATGTCTGTGGGGTAAGTTCCTAAAAGCAAAATGTAGCTTTTATGTTCTTTCCAAGTTGAGAAATGCGGCCAAGTTGTCCTGCATGGAGGGTGGACAAGTGCACATTCCCACCATCAAGGGGAGAAAGTGTGCCTTTTCCTGCACTTCAATTGACCTCTGTTCCCCGTCCCCTCCTCCGGTCTCTTTTCATATCCTTCTGCTTTCTCTCTTTTTGTCTCTCTGACTCTCAGTCTCCTTTTCTCCAGCACCCACAGCCCTGGAGAATGGCTCATCTCTTTCAGTCCTGGAGAGCCAGTCCTTGCGCCTGGTCTGTGTCGTCAACAGCAACCCCCCTGCCAGGCTGAGCTGGGCCCAGGGGCACCTGACCCTGTGCGGCCCGAACCCGGGGGTGCTGGAGCTGCCTCGGGTACAGCAGAGAGATGAGGGGGAATATACGTGCTGAGCTCAGAATGCAGTGGGCTCCCAGCACGTCTCCCTGAGCCTCTTGCTGCAGAGTGAGTGCATCTGTGGGGGTGGCTGGAGAACAACAGCACGTGCCCCCCCACCCCGGGGCTCCCCAGCTGCGCCCCCTGGCCCTTAAAGGGGATCTCAGCTCTGGTCTGTGCTCCCCCGTGAGGCCTGGATTTTCCCTGCTGCCTCCAGTATCACTGTCCTCTTCCAGCCAGACCCCAGCTGTAGGGTGGGGTGAAGGCTGAGAGGGGAAGCCAGGGGAAAGGGGTGGGTCTTGGAGGAGAGGGGCTGGGGCCTGCACAGGTGTGTCTGAGAACACAAGGTCCTTGATTTGTGGGGCAGGAAGGAGGCCACCATGGGCCCAAACTTTAAGGAGAAGCCAGGGTGCCTGTGTGGCTCAGTTAAGTGTCTGACTTGGGCTCAGGTCACGATCTCACGGTCCCTGGGTTTGAGCCTTGTGTCAGACTCCGTGCTGACAGCTCAGAGCCTGGAGCCCGCTTCGAACTCTGTGTCTCCCTCTCTCTTTGCCCCTCCCCCCCTCAAAAATAAACATTAATGTTTTTAATTTAAGGAGAAGCCAAAAAACCTCAGTAATAGAAGTAATACTGCAACGCAGTATTTTAAAAAAAATATACACGAACATAAAATAAATATCTCAATGGACAAAGTAACTGCATTTTAAATAAAGACAGGCTGCAATCCAGCCCCTGTATGCCTCACTCACCTGGTCCTAATCCCCTCCCCCAGCCCCAGGTCCCTGTGTTTTGAGGCTGGCAGGGGGGCTGGAAAAATCTAGGGTCCCACAGGGAGTGGGAGAAGATACGGAGTCCTTGGAGAGGAATCACCAATAATTCAATCTGTGTGCAGGAAAAGCGTGGCCTTTATCAGAAAGGCTGCTGGGGGCAGTCGGGGGAGCAGGTACAACGGCTCCGATCTTCCTGGTTCTCTGCATCATCATCATCATCATCCTGTGAACATTGACCCTGGGGAGGGAGGGATAGCCCTGGGCGGGAAGGGCAGGCGAGCACAGGATGGAGGGACCTGGGTGGGTGAAGAATCTGAAGCAAGGGCAGGAAGGAGGTCGATGGCACCTGGGTGAGTCTGTCATGGAACTCTTGGGGCACCTGGGTGGCTCAGCTGGTTAAGCATCCGACTTTGGCTCAGGTCACGATCTTGCGGTCCGTGGGTTTGAGCCCCGTGTCGGGCTCTGTGCTGACAGCTGGGAGCCTGGAGCCTGCTTCAGATTCTGTGTCTCCCTCTCTCTCTGCTCCTCCCCTGCTCACACTCTGTCTCTCTCTCAAAAATAAATAAAGATTAAGAAAAAAATTAAAAAAGAAAAAGAAGAGCTCTGTCCGCATTGTCCAGGATAGGAAGGCCTGCATTCTCAACACTAGGATCTCTAGAATGGGATCACCACTCTCCCACCTCCATCACCCTTCCAGCCCCTTAAGAGAGGATGGAGGAGGGGGTCAGTCTGCCCACAGCATGCTGAGCTGGCCAGACTGAAAGGCTTTCCGGTCTCTTCTTTCAGAGTGAGATCCCACAGGAAGAAAGTGACAAAGCCTTCAGTGGGCACCAAGAATACAGGCGTGGAGAGTGCAAACGTTGTCACGAGGTCAGTGTCTCAGGTGAGTGACCTGGGCATCTTGACATCAAACATCCTGCCTGGATACCTATCCCAGGATGGCATTTAGAATTGCTCTACTGAGCATGGCCAAAGTTCCTCTCCTTATCTCCTCCTCCTCCTCCTTGGGGATTCCCCATCTTTGGGACAGCACAACCACTCCCTCCTCTTTCTTTCCTGTCAGGCATGCGAGAGTCACCTTCTGTCTCTCCTCCCTGTCTTTCCTACAGCCCCCAATTCACATCTTGTCCATTTTTCCTCTTAAGGACAGCTAGCTTCGCCCCCTCTCTCTCTCTTGACCCCCATCATTGCCAAGGATTCAGAATCTTTTTCCTGGACCTCCTCATCTCCTTGCCTCTTACCTTCCTTGTCCTACACCAAGCAGTCATCCAAAAGCCACCATTATCCAGTTCCTCTGCATTTAAACACCTGTTTGCCCCCATTGTCTAAAGCAGAGGCTGGCAACTTTTTCTATCAAGGGCCAGATAGATACTTTGGGCTTTGCACACTTTATAGTCTGTTGTAACCACTCATCTCTGCTGTGGTAGAGTGAAAACAGCCGTAGACCATATGCAAATGAATGAGCACAGCTGCGTTCCAATAAAACTTTATTTACGAACACAGGCAGTGGGCCATATTTGATTCATGGGCCATAGTTTGCGGACCCCTGACCTACAGAATAAAGTCCAAACTCCTCCTGCAGCCCTGAATATTCTGGCCTCTCGAGCACCTACCTCTCCAGAAGGACTAGGGTTAGGGTGAAGTGAAGAAGGCCCCTGCCCCAGATGCAAAACTTAAGGAGGTGCTCCAAAATCTCCGTAATCCAGATAAATAATGTTTTCGTGTACTATTTTTAAAAAAAACAAAATTAAGGCAAAACATCCATGGTGAGTAAAATATTAAAAAAAATCTAAACAATGACAGGATCACTAGACTGAAGTTAGTTAGAAATTATTTAAGGGGCACCTAGGTGGCTCAGTCGGTTGAGCATCTAACTCTCGATTTTGCCTCAGGTCGTGATCTCACAGTTCATGAGACTGAGCCCCGTGTTGGACTCTGCACTGATTCCAGAGTGCAGTTGGACTGCTTGGGATTCTCTCTTTCTCCCTCTGCCCCTCTCCCCTGCTCATACACTCTCTCTCTTCAAAAGAAAAATTAAAAAAATTATCTAAGATCATAACTGAACCCAGAGAAATTGTCAAACATGGCAGTATTCTCAGTTGCACATGAAAGGAGCAGAGAAGTTGATTTTGAAAATGTCCTCTCTGCGTTTGCTTCCAGTAAAACCAGGAAAGCAAAATTATCATAAATTCTGGTTCGGGTATAAATAAAATATTTAAACTGAAAGTAATGTTTTATTACATGCATTCTTCAAGTTTGCAATAATATTTTAATTATTTTAATGTGGGTGAAAAACTGTTAGAAACACAAAAACATATATATATATGCTTGTGCTTATATATATAT